CCTTTTTTCTTCATGTCATATAAAAACTCTATAGTCTTTATTAGTCTATAATAAGATTCAGTTCGATTGACTCTCTGGTCATCAAGTCTTCTATCTTCTATAATGCATTCAGGTCACTCACAAGCCTCCAGTTCGCCTATAAAGATTTCCAGTCCTCCGACTGGTCGGATCATTATAAAAACTCCCTATACTACATAGACTTCGAGGCCCTCATTTTGTCTATAATGACATTGGAGTCATTTATAAAAGATTCTCTGGTCTTCAGGTCCTCTATAAGAATTCACAAGCCTTCAGCTCGCCTTTAGTAGACTCTCTTGTATTCAGGTCATTGATAAAAACTCACTCGACTTCAGTCAGTCTCTAATGAACTTCCTAACATTCAGCTCGTCTATAATGATACCCTGGCCTTCAAGTATTCTATATATTCTGTTGTTTTCATTTGAGCTCGTCTATAATAGACTTTCTGGGCTTCGGCTCGTCCATAATTACCCTCTGACATATTGGTCATATATAAAAATAACTCGCTGGTTTTCAATTTATCTATAAAGACTACCAGACATTCACGTCGTCTATAAAAACCCTGTAGTCTTCAGCTTCACTTCTGACCAGTTCTGATCAGTTCGCTTATAAACATTCTCTAGACTTCAGCCTGTTCATGAAAAACTCGCTATCCTTTAGCTCATTTATAATGACTCCGTTCAGCTCTATGCTGCTTCAGCTCTTCAATTAAAAATCCATCCTGCTCATCATCTCGTCTATGAAAAACTTCCTTCTTTTTGTCCATAAAATACTCCTTTCAGTTTATGTAGCACGGATGTATAGACTCCCTTCTGCTTGCCTATAAATTCTCACAAAGGTTGTCCATGAAAGATTCCCTCCAGATCTTCTATGAAAGATACCATTCAAGTCGTCTATGAAAGACTCCCTAGTCTCGTCTGTCCTTCCTTCAGTTCGTCTCCCTGCAACTCGCCAGTAGAAGATTTCCTATGACTTTCAGTTATCTTAATGGATTCATAAATAATTCCAATCCAATTAACACACAATTCAAAATAGTTATTTATTAATTGACAACGGCCGGTTATTTGTAATGCATTATCAAAACTTACCGGCCACTAAGTAGTCGTCGTTTTTATTTTCTTCAAGTTTTCAGTATTTTTTTCTCTTTTGATACTACTGGCCCATATCAAATATTCATTTATCATTCATTCATGAATAACTCGTGAAATTGTGTTTTTTCTTCTGTTGATGTTTTTAATTCATAGACGTTCCGATGAAAAAACTCAATTGTAGGATTTAGCATCAACATGAGTATGTCTGTATGTGTTTGTCTCTCGATGTGTATGTATTTCTGCAACGCTTTGTTGCACATTAATTGCAACTTGAATTTATGTTTCTTTAATGTTGTTGCCATTGCCTGCTATTTGTTGGTATCAAACAATCAACACCATGATTTGTAGGAGTTGTGTTGATGGGTTGGATGTTGCATAGCTTTGTGCTGTCTTATTTTTGTTGTTGATTTACTTTTTTTGTTTCTTCATTGCCACTAATGAACTCATTTTCAGGCCAGAGTGGGTAGAAGAGGTGTTGAGAGAACCTGGTATTGTAATCAATGTTATCTGTAGCACCATCAGACCGACATTTAATGGTGTTGCAAAGTGAATTTGTAAATATTTTTTGTTGTTGTTGGGATTTTTGTAAATTTTAAGACATTAAACAATTGGAATTTGTTGTTATTTGTTTAAAACAAAATATGAATACATCCCACGTTTGGAATAACAAAAGTGCGTTAATTTTGTTGTTCACACATGAACGTTGTATGTTCGCATATTTCTAAAATTAGAATGTGTTGTAGGTTGGCATGGGAGTTTTTTGAAAAAAATTCTGTGTGTCAATTATGTTGAAATAGATAATTGTATTTTAGTATACATTTTGTAAGAGGGTGTGTCATTGTTGAAATTTATGCGAATTTGATGGCAAAATTGACCTACAAAGGTCTATAATGATTTTAAAAGAGGTGCGATGCTACACACACACAGCCCATACGAACATCAACATGGGAATACATATTTCAACTCATCTATAATTTGTTTCGATTTCAGTTCGATAATAAAATACAGTTCCCTATCAGAATAATTTTCAATACAATTTTATCTGAATGATAGACCTTTCTTTTCCTCTTGACCACAAAATCACAATTTCGACTCATCTATAATTTGTTTCGATTTCAGTTCGATAATAAAATACAATTCCCTATCAAAATAATTTTTAAAACAATTTTATCTGAATGATAGACCCTTCTTTTCCTCTTGACCACAAAATCGCAATTTCGACCGTCCATCACAGTCATCCACTTGCATATGTAGCACATAAATCTCTCCCATTTATGTAATCTGTAATAGACTCATTGGCCTTACATTTTCCAAATAACTCTATATCCTTCAGCTCATTTTTAAAGGCATCCTAGCTTTCATCTTGTCCATAAAGTCTCCTAGCCCTTCTGATCGCCTATACTAGGCTATCTGGTCTTTATCTCGCGTCAGGCATTCAGGTCCTGTATAAAAAAAATCGTTGAACTGTAGATTATCAATATAAACTCCCTGGCCTTCATCCGATATATAACCTTCCCTGGCCTTTAGATCATTCAAAACACAACCTGACATTCAGATCGTCTTAAAAAACTAATTGGCCTTCAGATCACCTATATGAAGACCTCTAGGCTTTCAAATCTCATAAAAAATAGACTAGCCTTCAGCATGTCTATAAGTATCCTATAGTATTGTTCGTATGTAAAAATTCCCTGAAGTCACTCAGACTATCTGGCCTTAAAGTCCTCTATAAAAACTCACAAGCCTGCAGCTCGTCTTTGATAGACTACCTTACCTTTAGGTCGTCGATAAAAACCCTCTAGACTTCAGTTATTCTGTAATAAACTTCTTGGCATTCATCTCGTCTATAATGATCCCCTGGCATTCAAGTCTTCTGTAAATACACCCTGGTTATTTTCAAATTTTTCTATTATAACCCCCTGGTCTTCAAGTCTTCTATAAAAAGATTCCCTGGCTGTCAGCTCAGCTATATCAGACTCTGTGATCTTTAGGCCATCTATAAAATCTCAGAAGCCTCCAGTTTGTCTATCAAGATTTCCGGCCTTCATCTTGTCTAGGCCTTCATCTTGTCTATAGTGGGCTTCGAGTCATCCATAAATGAGTATCTGGTCTTCTATAAAAAATCAAAAGCCTTCAGCTTGGCTCTGATAAACTACCGTGCCTTCAGGTCGCCCATAACTCCCTAGGCTTCAGTCAATGTGAAGTCATACATAAAAGATTATCTCGTCTTCAAGTCCTCTATAAAAACTCACAAGCCTTCATCTCGTCTCTGATAGACTACCTTGCCTTTAGGCCATCGATAAAAATTTCCTAGGCTTCAGTCAGACTATAACAAACTTCCTGACCTTCATTTCGTCTATAATGATCTCCTGACATTCAAGTCTTCTATAAATACTACCTGGTTTTCATATTTTTCTTTAGCTCGTCTATAGTAGACTCTTCAGGCTTCAGCTCGTCCATAATGACCCTCTGCACCCAGTTCATCTATAAAAAAAAAAACTCACTTCTTTGCAAATTTTCTATCATAGACTCCCAGGCTTTCAGTTCGTCTATAAAAACTCTCTTGTCTTCAGGTTCACATCTGACCTTCAGTTTGCCTATAAAAATGCATAGTCTTCAGCTCCATCATGAAAAATTTCCTGTTTTTCAGCTCGTCTATGAAGTACTTCCTTCAGGTCCTCTATAAAAACTTAACAGACTTCATTAGTTCATCTCTGGTAGACTCTCTTCAGCTCGCATAGAGAAGACTCTATTCACCTTGTCTCCGTAGACTCCATTCAAACTTACCTAGAGAAAACCCCTTCAGCTCGTCTCCCTTCTCCCTTCAGCTCGTCTATGAAAGACTCCCTTCAGCTCGTCTATGAAAGACTCCCTTCAGCTCGTCTATGAAAGACTCCCTTCAGCTCGTCTATGAAAGACTCCCTTCAGCTCGTCTATGAAAGACTCCCTTCAGCTCGTCTATGAAAGACTCCCTTCAGCTCGTCTATGAAAGACTCCCTTCAGCTCGTCTATGAAAGACTCCCTTCAGCTCGTCTATGAAAGACTCCCTTCAGCTCGTCTATGAAAGACTCCCTTCAGCTCGTCTATGAAAGACTCCCTTCAGCTCGTCTATGAAAGACAGCCTTCAGCTCGTCTATGAAAGACAGCCTTCAGCTCGTCTATGAAAGACAGCCTTCAGCTCGTCTATGAAAGACAGCCTTCAGCTCGTCTATGAAAGACAGCCTTCAGCTCGTCTATGAAAGACAGCCTTCAGCTCGTCTATGAAAGACAGCCTTCAGCTCGTCTATGAAAGACAGCCTTCAGCTCGTCTATGAAAGACAGCCTTCAGCTCGTCTATGAAGGACAGCCTTCAGCTCGTCTATGAAAGACAGCCTTCAGCTCGTCTATGAAAGACTGCCTTCAGCTCGTCTATGAAAGACTGCCTTCAGCTCGTCTATGAAAGACTCCCTTCAGCTCGTCTATGAAAGACTCCCTTCAGCTCGTCTATGAAAGACTCCCTTCAGCTCGTCTATGAAAGACTCCCTTCAGCTCGTCTATGAAAGACTCCCTTCAGCTCGTCTATGAAAGACTCCCTTCAGCTCGTCTATGAAAGACTCCCTTCAGCTCATCTATAAAATACTCCCTTCACCTCGTCTATAAAAGACTCCCTTCAGTTCGTCTACGAAAGACTCCCTCAGTTCGTCTGTGAAATACCCTTTCAACTCCTCAAGATTTAACAATTTTCCAGATCATTCAATATTATTGAATAAGTTTTTTCTAAACCTCAAATGTAATTGCATTTTGTACATTGTTTTTATATTTCTAATTAACAACCACTTAAGTAATGACATACATACACACTTACAACCGAAAACCAATTAATTAATTTCTATTTGTTTCTTTGCAGATTTTTGCTGTTTCTTCAAAAAAAGCATAAATTTTTTGTTCCAATCCAATTGTTTTCATTATTTTATGGTAAGTTCAACATCGTCATCATCATATTAAGCACCACCACCATTAATAGTGGTATTGTTATTATATTTTTGAATTAATTGTCTACATGAGTGATTGCTGCATATTTCGATTTTTTTCTTATTTTGTTTTCTTCAATATTCAATTACGACTTTTCAATTCAATGTCAGGTTTTTTATGTGTAATTGTATCACACGTTCAACAAGAGCAAAAACACAACAATAACAATATCGAAGACTCTTAAAGTAAAGCAGGCCAAACATAATTTGGCTAAACTAAAAAAAAAAATAGATCTCCCAACACGATTTAATTTCATGTTTTCGATATTTATTTTGGTCATATCGTCACATTAATAGAGCTTAATGACATTTTGCATAATAGATAGTGTCAATCATTCCGACAGTCATTCAGTCAGTCATCCATTCCGTCACTCATTCACAAATTCACGCATTTGTTCACTTCTACGATCTATCAATCGATTGACACTTCAAGTCTTGATTTAATTGAAATATTTCAAGACCTCTAGTCTTATGCACCGCTCTTTTTTGGAGGGGTAATCATACCACCGATTGTGAAATACGATTTACCACCACACGCATTTGATTCGTTGTCAATCACATTCAAATATTTAGGCAATACAACAATTGTTCGCTTGTTCGTTCGATCGATCGACGGTTCGGGTAATGTAATCCTATTAACCTTGAATTCTTTGTAAAACGCACTGCATGATTTTGTGATTTGTCAATGCTGCAAAATGTGTTTCGGCTTTGTTTTAAATTACAAGCTGGCCGTGACCAAAACTGTCCATGATACCATTTCTTTGTTTTGGTCGGAGGTTGGGCGTAACAAAAGAACGAATAAAACAAAACAAAAAGTATTATGAATTTGGAATAAATCCAAAAATTTTAATTAGATACTGAAAATAATTAACATACATTGAAGACTGATTCAAATTGAAATGACCAGAGTCTATACACCTCGAAAAACCTTCTTATTTCTCTGACCTATCATTCGAATATAACATACACATTGGGTTTAACCTCGTCTATAAAAATGACCTCCGCTCAGTCTATAAAGACATCCTGCTGCATAATAACTTATTTTATCTTACCTTCCTGCTGCTCTATAAAAATTCTCTATACAGTACATAAAAACTTCCTAATTTACCTTCAAACTCACTCCAGACTCCCTCACGCTCAACTTACTTATGAAATATTATAGATGACTGTCTGCCTTTTAGATATAAATATCCTGCCCTTCGGCTAGTTTATAAAAACAACACTCATCTTTTCAATTTGAATATATAAAAACTTTCCTCAACTCGTCTAAATAAACTCCCATCAGTTCGACTATAAGAACTCTTCTAGATATAGAGCCTTAAATTTTTCTAAAAATACTAATTTCACCTAGTTCAATAAAGAAGCCCTGCAGTTCTTCTATAACGAACTCAGATCGTATTTTATGTTTTCCCAGTAGTTTCCTCGGTTATAAAGACTCCCGGGTCTTCCACCTGTATTTCGTCTATGAAGGGTTCCCTGGGGGGCTACTCTGTATTGCGATGCGTGAGAAAAATTGTAACGCATCGCGTAATTGGTACTCTCTAATTCGCTTTCGTATCTCCTTTCGCATATACTTTACGCAAATGTAGCATCACCGCACTCTGTAATACGAAAACGCATGTCAATCTCGTTCGTTAAGCGCTAATATCTTGCGTTAACAAAATAGCAAACGTAAAGGAAGAGAAACATATAAGTAAGCTCCAAGGCAAAAAAAAGTCACAGTTACAGGCTCAGCAACGTCAGTTACTATCTTCAGTAGATTTTATGGGGCAACACAGTGATTTGGCAAAGGGACAGTTGCAGAGTTCAAATGCGAAACAACGCGCCAACAATTTGTGGACAAAACTGTCTGATGACCTCAATTCAAATTGACCTCCTGTAAAAGATGTCGGTGGTTGGAAAAAGTAATATATTATTTTTTTTATATAAAACGTGAAACTATGTGTGCATATTTATAGGTTGGTGTTGATAACCACCTTGTCCAAGCAATTTCAAAGCAGCGGCCTCTTTTATTGGAGTTGGAATTGTTGTGGATCTATTTGAAACGACGAGCGTTTAAAAAATACATAAACGAATCTTTATTGAGACATTTTATATAAATCTATAAAAATTAAATATTTGAAAACATTTGTCACATAATTCGTACTTATATTTTCATACCCGTGGTCACTTAAGGAGAGTATATTTGATAGATCTCATAAAATTCTTTTTTTTAATTCGTTCATCATTTTTGTTTAAAAAAACACTCGTACTACAAAAAAATATGTTTTCATTTACAATTTTTTGACGTTTCCTTTTGTCATTCTTCCTTATTGTTTACTTTGTGGCGACAGTGTTGCCCTATTTTCAATTTAGTTTGCGAATGCGTTTGCGTGAACGTTACAGAGTACCAAATTGTACTCTTAACGCCTTCAGCTCGTCTATAAAAGACTTCCTTTAGCTCGTCCATAGAAAACTCCCTTCAGCCCTTATGTGAAAGACTCCGAACCCTTCATGGCACCAATAAAAAACTTCTTCAGCTCGTCTATAAAAACTATCTGCCTTCCAGCTCCCCCAAAAAAAGATACCTTGCTCTTCAGCTCGTCTATAGAAGACTCAGGTCTTTACCTTTTCCTGTCATTATCTTTTCTGTAGACTTTCATGGCATTTTCCCCCTCCAATTCGTCTATAGACGACTCCCTTTAGCTTTTTGAAGCACTCCTTCTGATCATCCTGACAATACTCCCTATAATCGTCTATAAAAAATTTACCTGCCTATCAGCTTGTCTATGAAAGACACCCTGCCTTCCAGCTCGTCTATAGAAGATTCGCAGCGCTCTATCTAAACTATAGAAGACTTCCTGGCCCTTTTCTCCCCTGTAGAAGACTTATTTCCCTTCAGCTCTTTTATGAACCACTCCCTGACATCAATTTCTTCTATAAAGACTTTCCGTCTTTTATCTTCTGGCCTTCATATAGTATGTAAGGACTCGTAGATCCCCTTGTCTATTAAGACTCCCAGATCTGTAGATTTTCCATAAATACTGCCTTCAGCTTATCTATTAGGCATATTGTCCTTCAGTGTGTCTGTTATTGAACCCTTGTCTATAAAGACCCACAGGCATGCAGATTTTCTATAAATAATATAAATACTCCTTCTAGCTCTTCTATTAGACGTCCTGGGCTTAAGCTCGTCTGTTCGACGCAGTTAAATTCGCCTCCCTGCTTCAGGGAGGTTTAAAAATACTTCCTTCTTGTCTATAAAAGATTCCTCACCTTTCAGCTAATCCAAATTATGGCGGCCTTATAACTGTCCATAATTTCTGTTATTAAAACATTCTGGACTAAATTTCCTCTATGATGACTCCTAGTTTGCACCCTTTTCTATAAAGAATCCCTGCCCACCATCATCTCGTCTATAAAGACTCCCTGTGATCAAGCTTGCCTGTAGAGTCTACCTGTTCTTCACCTAGTCTATAAATACTTTTTTCTGCACGTCTATTTAGTCTGCTTTCGGTCGCCTTGAGATACTCAATCTCGACTATAGAGACTCCTGCTTGTCTATAAAGACTCTTTTGAGAGTCTGGATACTCGTCTTGAGATTTTCATGCAGTCTTCATGAAGACTCATTGTTCTTCATCTTTCCTATAAAGGATATATTTTTAAAGACTTTCTGGACTCCATGTCGCCCATACATACTGCCGTAGTATCATACTTCCCTTATGTAGTCTTGAGATCCTCAATTTCGACTACGAAGGCTCCCTGGCCTCCATCTTAACAGTAAGTACTATTTTCAGTACATCTATTTAGACTCCCCTCAGATCGTCTTGAGATTTCCATGAAGTGTTATATGAAGACTCCTTCATTTCCATCTTTGCTATAAAGGATTTCTGTCCTCCATCTCGCCTATGAAGACTCCCTGGACTCCCACCTATAAATACTCCTGACTTCCATCTTGCCTATAAAAACTAACTATGCTCCATCTCGTTCAAAAAGACTGCCCTGTAGCACGTCGTCTTGAGGTTTCCATGAAGTATTCTATGATGATTCCTTTATCCCAATCTTTCCTACAAAGAATTTCTACCTTCAATCTCGTCTATTGGGACAACCTGGACTCAATTTCGCCTATAACGACTCCCTGGCCTCCAACTTGTCTATAAATACCCTTTTCAGCACATATTTTTAGACTTCCCTCAGGCCCTCTTAAGATTTCCATGAGGTCATCTATGACGATTCTTTGGCCTGCATCTTTTCTATAAAGGATTTCTGTCATCCATCTCGTCTAAAACGACTCTCTGGCTTCCAGCTCTTCTATTCAAACTTCAATCAGCTCATCTTGCAATTTCTCTCGGCTTCGATACACAATTTTTGTTTGTGCACTTGTTTTCCCATTCACACTGGTCAATGTACACTTAAGCGTCTAATATGGCATGCAAACAAACAGAAATTACTGTCCTGGCTATTCAAACACTGGACAATAATTACGATTACAACTTAATGATCAAAACGCCAACAAATCCACCAAGTGGTTTACTGCAACCCATAAACAAAGAGGACGCAAAAAATCCGAAGCGAAGACAAAAAACTTAATAATCTGATATCAAAAACCAGGCAAAGCCCCCGATGCCAACAGCCCCCTTTTTCACAATGGACGATTACTTTCATTTTCATTTGAAGGCCAACCACATGAAAACTCATACCAAAACGACTTGATCGCAACAACAAAAGAGAAAGATCCAGCTCAGGTGTATTGTTTGTGGGAGAGTGAAAGAGAAAGCCAACGTAATGAGAGATGCAAAAAAGGCACAATATTTGGAAACTAAATAAAATTACATGGCTTGAAGCTGTTTTTAACGGATATGCCAGACTTTATTGTTCAGATTGCAAAAAAAAATATATATATAATACTGCGGCATAAACTTGATTTCAATTTCATGGAATAGTATGTGGCCGACAATAAGCGGCATGGCTTGACCATATAGCTTAAGAGTCACTGAAACGCCTAAAAAGTTGCATGGAAATGAAAGCAAATATTTGTTCATAAATCACTTGTAACACTTGACGACGGTGGTGACTCGTAATGTTGTCAAGTTTACAGCAATCAGGCGTTATGGCTTTTACAGTTTATGGCCACATTGGAATGTGTTATAAGCCCTTGGAGGTAAAAAAAAATTTGGGCACAAAGATATTTTTGTGAGTTTACAAAAACAAAAAAAATTAATTAAAACAGGGCTAATATGGACATGTGTCGTTTGTAAATACTCGCTCTTACTCCGATATTATTCTTATGAAGTTTTCATAATTTTGGTCTTCTTTAAAAGTTCCTTTCTGGGAGTCTATAAAGGCAGTATTTGGTCCACGTACAAAATATGAATCAATTTTTTTTCATTTTCATAGGCTCTCTCCATCTTCTTTCCTTTCTGTCCCCTTCATGTCATAATGTGTCACATTAAAATGCAATTACAGTAGTATTACGTATTTAATTTTTCCTTTCACTTTTCTAATGTTCGTCCACCAAAAAACGCCCTATTAAAATAGTTTATGTTCATTGTTTTCAAATGGTCAAGATGACAGTAACAATGCTCTTCATTATTGCAGTAACCATGACATTAATGGTAGTGACGATAATGATGCTACTGCCCTTAGCAGTGGTCGTATACTGCTTCTTACATCTTCATCTTTATGGTCAATGTCTTTAACGTCAATTTTTTTATTAAGATCATGTTATGACATTTGAGTAATCATTTTTGCAGCAAGTGAAAGTATAGCAAATTGCACACCGACACCGACACACACACACATACACACATACACACACATGAGAGATTTATAGGCTATTGAAAAAATCTAATTATAAAAGTTATAGCCTTTTAATAAAAAAAAAGTTAAGGTAGATTTTAATTTTTCCAGACACCAATAACAAAAAATTTTAAGGCACTTTCTCACCTCTCCGATATTATTGGAAATATAATACGGTATTGGGGGTTCCTTTCTCTCCAATGATTTATCGCAGCATATAAACAACAACATACAATTCAATATGGCCTTGAACTCTTTCTGTGGCTTTTGATTATGTGAAAGCCTGTAACAATAAATTTCTCTACACCTGGTTTAAATTACCAACAGGTGGAACTGCATTATGTTTTCTTTCACACAGTGATATAAAAACAAAGGGAATGGGAAAAATATAACGAAAGAAGGGCGTTCGGGAAGTAGTATTTTAAGACTAGTGATGGGTGTATTTCTGAGACAAGTTGTAGGAATTTGGGAGTCTTCTATAGACGAGCTGAAGTAGGGTGTCTTTCATAGTCGATCTGAAGCAGGGAGTTTTTCATAGAGGAACTGAAACAAGTATCTTGAAGAGTTATATGTCAGTACCTGCCAAAAGGCCTACCTCACAATGGCTGAGCCACAGGCGGAAAACCGCCCACCAGCGCACCAGCACCGAAGCACAGTACCAATTGGAGAGCATGCAGAAAGCATACTCTCCCCCTTGGTGAGGGGCGAAACCACAACCCCTGCGAAGCTCCCCAGGGGACCACACCAACTGTCAGGCTGGATCGACAGATCCAGGGGCACCTGACACCCGCGGTACGGAAAACCTCCGCTCAGGCTCGAGGCCGAAGCCTCTCCCAGTTTGACGCACGTCCGGGCTGGTATCCCAAAACAACAATAAGCAACGGCGATAACCGCAAGTGGCAAGGAAAAACCTGGCCACAAGCAGTGACACAAATCACAAACAATTAACATGCTGTCCTCACGGACTGCACAGGCAACAGGAGCTTAAACAGGAAGACTTCTATTGACGAGCTGAATCATGGATTTTTTTCATAGACGATAAGAAGCCGGGAGATTTTCTTAGACGAGTTGAAGTAGCCAGTCTTTCAACGTCGAGATATAGAAAACGTGGGGTCTTTCATAGGAGAGCTTTAGCAGGGAGTTTTTATGGACGTGCTGAAGTAGCGGGTCTTTCACAGACGAACTGAAACATGGATATTTCATAGGTAAGCTAAAGCAGGGCGTCTTTCATAGGCGAGCTTTAATAGACGAGCTGTAGAGTATTTTATAGTTGCGTTGGAGCTGGCAGTCTTTCATATGATATCTGAAGCAGGGAGTCTGTCTTAGATGAACTGAATCGGGGAGTCTTCAATAGAGGAACTATATCAGGGAGTCTTTCATAGACGAACTGAATCAATAAGTCTTTCATAGACGAGCTGAAGCTGGGAGTATTCTATTGAGGAACTAAGGCAAGAAGTCTTCGAGCTGAAGCAGGAAGTCTTTCATAGAGGAGCTGAAGCTATGAGTCTTTACAGACGAGCTGAAGCTGGTATTATTTTATAAACGTACTGAAGGGAGTACTCTATAGAGGAGCTGCAGGGAGTCTATAAACGAACGGAAATAAGCCTTTATAGACGAGTTAAAGCAGGGGAATCGGAATTAAAGTTTAATAAAAATTTAAGGGAGTCTTTAAATTTTTCTTTTATAGCGAGTTGAAGGTCAGGGAATCTACTATAGACTTCAGCTTCAGCGTTCTGTCGAGCAGCAGAAGGAGGATTTCATTCATAGACGAGCTGAAGCAAGAAGAATTTGTAGTGAGACCTTATAGACAAGGGCTTTATAGTTTTTTTGGAAAACTAAAAACCGATGTGTCTTAGCGGTGAATCATATCAGGAAATATTATTTTAGATTAGCTGAAGTGGGAGATTCCGAATTTCCCAACCAAAGGGTTAAAATCTCCTGTGTACAATGTGGTCTGGCCGAACCTTTTTACTCGTTTTCTTTTTTTAATGTATCTCTCTTGAAAATAAAGCAGTTACTTTCGATTACATCGATCTTCTCGTTCATTGACATATTTAAATACCTCTAACATATCCTTACGCTGGTTCCATTGCTTTTAATTTTATCCAGCAGATACCTCCAGCGGTTATCAGCCAGCTACAGTCAACAAAATTCTAGTATCTGTAAGAATTGCAATGTGAGCTAAAAATATGAAGGATTCAGGTCTTGATATTTAAACTTATAATTTTTTATTTTATTTTTTAATATCTCTTTTATCTTACCCAAGCGAGAAGGTCACAATATCAGACAATAGCCAATCGATTATGAAAATTACGTTATACACACACGTATTAATTTATTACGATTGCAAGAAATTTATAATTAAATGCTCTTAACAAATTCACTTTCACGCTTTGTTAATTGAACCAATTAAAAAATAGCTCAACTGGGTGGTAATGAAAATGAAAATAAAAAATCGTGGTAATAACCCAAGGCAGACAGTTTGCATAAAAAATACACAGACACAGAAACCAAGCATAGATCACGTTATTATGAGACGCGGCACCTTGTTTTTTTTACACCTATCTAACAAATTCTATTGTTTTCTTCCAATTTCTCCTTCACAGGCTTTACAATGATGACGAGACACCTGCAATTCTTGTGTGCCACCGCTTGCATATGGCTATTTGCCGCCGCGCAACAACAACAATCTTCATTCGACAAATGGTCACGTCAGCTGGAAGCTGCCAGTCCGGCAGTATCGGATAGCTTCGATTGGGTACCTTTATCTCAGCCCGCAGATAGTTCAACAGCAACGAAGGATCGTTCTGCCAATGGACGCGTTCTAACCTATTCACAATCGTTTCCACCCAGCGCTAAATTTAGTGATTTGTCAAAACCCGCAAGTTTCGGCAATTCACCACAATCGGCTAAACCAACACCATTTGATTTCCCATTCCAATTTCAATCATTTGGCAATGCTCCTCAGACGCAGTCATTGAGACAACCAAGCCCACAGCTGAAACCACAAGATTCCACTTCTCAATCATTCTTTAAATTTGAAATGCCCTTTAATCAACAAAATGCACGTCCCGCACAATTGGCAGCTCCTGGTGTCAACACGGGTTATCAAATTTCTCACGCATTTGGAAATGGCGCCCAAGCAACATTGTTTAGTTCACCATTGTTTAATCAACAACCGGCCTTCCCACCAGAATTCCATCCCGTGCCCCAGAAACCATTCACCCAGCCATTGCAACAACCCCAGAAACCATCCTTTTTGCAACCGAATGTAATTGAAGATCCTTTGTCGTTGAAGAATTTCTTCAAAGAAAACAAACCACTGCCAACACCAGCATCCTCATTGCAGGCTGTTACACCACAAGTTTTCCCCACCAATCCCCCGGCTGAACCGTCGTTCCCCTTGAGAAATAACAATTTCAATAGTTTACCCTCGGCAGCTGGTTCTGGCCCCGCTGGACCACAAGATTCTCAGTTCTTGTATGTACCATATAATGATGTCTTTAATTTCCCTGCACCTCAGGCTCAACCCGCCGTCCAGCAACAGCAGCCACAAAATCCTTTTGAACAAAACACAAAGTTCAGTGGCAATCTACCCACCGTCAACCCATATCAAATCAATCAGTTCTATACCCCAGATCCAATTGCTCCAGCTCAACCTCAAAACAATTTGTTCGCCATAACCACAACCACCACGGCCAAGCCATTGACAACCTCCCTGAAACCTGCCAATGTGTTCCAAAGTTATGTTAATCCACAATTCACCACCCCGGCGCCAAAACCCAAACCAAAGGCCCACCAACCTGCCTTGGCTATGTTCCTTTATCGCGGCTCCTCAAGACCCACACAAACCGATGTTGTCGAATCCTTGGCCTCCTCCAAGACAATTGCTGTGATTGATGCTCCCACACAAAATACTCCAGAGATCTTTGTTGGCCCAGCTGGTATGCCCACACCCAGTGGCTTTACCAAATTCGATTTGCCCTACCTGTCGCAATTGCAAAGTGGTGGTCAGGATATCAATGACATTCCCTACTTTGTGGCTCCATTGAGTTATCGCACTCCCGGTGGCTTCCATAAGATTCTGCTACCCGAACCTCATGTTGGTTCCATTGTGGTTAATTTGGCCAAGCAAAGACCACCAACCGTTGCCACTCAGCCACAACAATCGAATGTCTACTATCAACCTCAATTGCAAGATGTTCCAGCCACTACCCAACGTCCTCAGACCACAACCCAAGCCACGGTGTTCTATCAACCCCAGTTGCAGGATGTGCAAACCTCAACACATCGTCCACGTCAACGCGTAAAGGGTAATGCCAATCGTGGTAACAAGTATAGCTATTATTTGGATCAAGATGCCATACAAGAAGTTTCATCACCTCAGATCACCCAGAAGGAACGTCCCAAAAAGAAACGTCCTCAACAGTCGAACAAGGTTGAGCAGCAAAACGGTTTCAACCAACAGCTGAGCAATCCTTATGCCCAATTTAATCCCATACCCAATCAAATTACCGGTGATGAGTATTACAAGATTACCAGCAGACCCAGTAGCACCTCGACGACCAGCACGAGCACTACCACCACTTCGACTACCTCTACAACGGCAGCTCCCCAGACCTACTTTACTTACAATACTCAAGCCCAAGTTGAATTCCCCGGTTCAAGTGGTCATTTGTATCACAATGTCAATCAACCAACTGTACAGGAAGATAAACCCACCAGACCCCCATTAGGCGCCACCACCCCTGAGGAAGAATATCGCATGAAACAATACTACAAACAACAAGATGCCATACGCAATCGTCCAAAGATTGTATCCCAAACTAATTCACCCTACGATCAGGTCCAATACACTCCCGTTAGTTTGGAATATGATGTTTCGCCCAAGACCACCACAGTTAAGCCTCGCATTACCTTCTTTAGCCCAACTGTGGGACCAGCGACTGATGAAGATTACAATACCTTGCCACCCAGGCAGCAGGCTACCACCGTGAACAACAACTTGCCAGCCAATCATCGTCCTTCATATGTGCAAAATGAAATTACCGATAGTCCTGTGGAATATGAACCTAATCCTTATCAATTGCCCTCGGAATTGCCATCGCTGACACCCAGCCTGCCAGGTTTGGTAAACAATCTTAAGGATATGAAACAACAGCAGCAACAACAACAGCAGAATGCCAATGAAGAACAAACAACCGTTACACCAAGTGTGGAGCAGGACACCACCACCAGCAGGCCCACACGTCGCCCGATACATCGCGTAAGGAAACCAACCAAGGTCAGTAATACTGTGGATAATGGTGATAACAGCGAAACAGAAACCTTTACCCGACGACCATTGAATCGTGTGCGCAGACCATTTGGCTCACGCAACACCATTGGCTCCCAAATTACCACCAATTTGGAGAATAACAACAGCAACAATGACAACAACAATAATGTAGCAACCACCAGCACTACCAGACGTCCATCGGGATCACGTAACCCCTTGGTACGCAACCCCAACCGCATACGTTATCAACCCACACCAGAGGAAAGACAAACCCTGAGAATTAAACAAAAGAAGAAGTATGGCGGATCCTCAAAGGTCGTCGAACAAACTGAAGATTTGGACTATCAACGTGATGTGTTGAAACAAAATTATCCCGTTATTAGACCATTAAATGGTCGCACACCCAGCAGTCCGACAGCAAGACCTAGCTCATACGATATCACCACCACGGAAGCTCCCACATCGGAAACTCAACAAGTTTACACCGTGACACCAAGCAATCACATTGACAATGATCAGGTCTTCCCTGCCGGCCTTTTGGAACCCATGCAAATCGCCCAACAATATAATCAATATAAGGATAATTATGGTCCAGGATATTTCCCCAATCAAGAAGATTTAAACCCCACCGAACCGGTTCGCAATGAAATTAATCCCGTTTATACAACATATCCGACAACAACACCAGCCCCGGTCACAGAACCACCAACTACAACAACGACCACCACTACTACAACAACAACTACTACTGAAGCTCCCGTGATCACAACTACAAGACGTTCACCATTCCGCAGAAATTATCCTAGGACAAGGCCAACAACGACGGAGGCTCCCACCACAACTACTCCAACACCGGAAGAGAGACCATCGGTAAGTGGAGAAAAAAAGCTTTAATAAAAGCTTTGGTAAATATTCTTCAAAAAATACAGGCCTCTGATAGGCCTTGAAAAAATATTCTTTAAAAATCCAGGCCTATAAAAACCCATGCCTCTGATAAGCCTTGAAAAGAAATTATTAAAAAAAATCTACACCTCTGCCTTGAAAAAATGTTCTTTAAAAAATCCACGCCCCTTATAGGCCTTAAAAATATTCTTTAAAAAATTCAGGCCTCTGGTAGGCTTTTCAAAAACATTTTTCAAAAAATCCAGGCCTCTGATAGTCTCCTTGAAAAAAATATTCTTTAAAAAATCCACGCCTCTGATAGGTCTTGAAAAAATATTCTCTAAAAAATCCACATCTCTGATAGTCTCCCTGAAAAATATTCTTTAAATATCCACGCATTCGATATCTAAAAATCCACGCTTCTGTTGATCCCTTAAAAATCTCTGTTTCTGTCTCTGAAAACTTTCACAATAAATCTCTTCTATTTCCAGATCCGCAATCGTTTACCTCCCCGCAAAGTAATCCGCGTACGTACCCGCACCCGTCGTCCACAACATCCAGCCTCCACATCAACATCGCCCGAAGATGAAAATCAAGCCACTGAGGAACCCAAACAAAATTATCGTAAATTGAATCGTTTCAATCAGGATCTCTATGAAAATAATGAGGTTAGTAGTCGACAACATTTTAGATTAAATTGGCTATGAAATAAAAACCTTCCGATTTCCCTTCACAGCAAACCCCCAGACGCCGTTATAAGAATAAATTTCAATTGGAGGGACAAGAGTCACAATGGTCGCCAGCTGTAAAAGTGGGTCCGACAAATAATTTTAAACCCATTCACCCCAAGATACACAACAACAATCGTCATCGTTTCGAAGATGAGCCTGAAATTGTAACCGCCGGACCAAATGGTGAGGGTCAGGATAATTATGAGGTTAAGGTATCCGCCAATTTGGCACCAACCGCAAGCAGTGGCCCACTAATGAGGGAACCAAATTTGAAGTAAGTCAAAGAGATGCCAATTTTTATGATTTCAAATAATATTTCATGGTTTGTGTTTCTAGACCCGAAAAATCCTTTGCTGAACTTCTGGAAGAAGTCATGGGAAAGGCACCTGAAGATAAAACTGTTGAAAGCACCACTGCCTCATCCTCCACCTCTACGGATGGCACCTATTTTGATGCCCAAAAGTCCACGATTGCCAATCGTCTGAATCGACGTGGTAAATGGAAGAAGACTCGTGTTGTGGCCACCTCCAGTAATACTAATGGAGAAAGTTTCGAAACGGCTGAATCTCAAAATCTAGGCTCCCAACTCTTGAATACCTTGCATACCAAGGATAAGGCCAGTGTGGACATGATTAAGGACTGGAAGACCACCACACCCATGACAACTGCTGCTGAAATCAATGCCATGTATAATTCTGACACCACCACACCCATACCCATGGGTTCCATGGAAGATGAATATGCTATGACCACCACCAAACCTGAAATGGCTACCACATTTGCACCCACCATGCCAATGAATTCCCCCGTTGAAGATATGGCTGGTATGATGACCGAAAAGTCGGTCAACAATGGCGAAGAAGAAAGTGCCACACGACGCATGGATGATGCAGCCATGGAAGAAGATTTGGAGATCCAACCCAGTCTCTTCTCGGAAGTCAAGAAACAATTACATGAACTCTTCTCGATTGAGGATACCGGAGATGATACTGCCGTGACAGCTGCCTTGGCTGCTGTGGGTAAACGCCGCCAGGAGTATACGAATATTAAGAGGCCTAAAGTTGAGACCACAACATTTGCACCACAGCCGGATTTCACAGAACCCATGACACCGGAAGATAAAATAGCCTTCCATCGAGAGCTAATGAAACATGTGGTATATGCCACATCAGCGCCGGCCAAAGAACAAGAGGAACAGACATCCGAAGCGGAAATCTGTTATAGAGGGCGCTGTATAAAATCCGATGATTTGCCAGCGAATCATAAATTAAATTAATTTGTTTTAAATTCTTTGTGTGTAATTAGGCTTAACTAGGACTTAAAAAAATATAAATTGCTACTTTCCTCCCTATCTTCAATCTCCCTCTATCTTCAATACCAAAAACATTCAATTTTCCCCCTTTTTCCCAACAATCACAACAAAGTCATACTTAAGTCCTTATGCTTCTCATCGCAACTATTTATTTTTTTCTCCCCAGCATATCTTTTACGATATATTGTAATTATTATATTTTTTAGTTTTAATTTATAACAAAAAGCAAAAAAAACAATTGAACGATTTTTTATGTAATTAATTATTTTAATTTATAGAATTCCATTCATTTTGTTCTCCCCCTTTCCCTTCATCTTCTTCTGTCTTACCTTCCACTAAAGATGATCATTGAAATAGTTTTTTGTTTCGGCCTCTTTAGTGAAAAATGTGAACGAAGTTTTATTATTTTATGGGTCTGTAACAAAACATCAACCACAAAAATCTGCAACAGTTATTGGCAAATATATTCATAAGTTTAGTATTATTTATTTTATAAGAATATTTTTTGTAATATAAAAAGAAAACAAATAATAATTAATTAAATAACGTGTACGATATACCAATAAAAAAACAACATAAACATTTAATTTTATATATGTAAACAAATTTATTGTAAATAAAGAAAAGAAAATTAAAAATAAATTATTATTTTTTATAAATTGGGGAAATTTTAAATTTACAACACCTCTTGAATAACAACCACTTTTTAAGTTCCTCTTTAATTAGAAGACGTTGCACAGCTCATCTACAACTAGGATTCATCGTATACAACTACAATTAGAATTTTGAAAAAATCTACGCTCCTTGTAGTTCTTCGAAACATCTACGCTCCTTGTGGTTCTTGAAAAAAATATCCTTCAAAATTCTAAACCCCTTGTGGTTCTTAAAAAATATTCCTTTAATCGGTAAAAAGTGTCAGCCGGAAATACTTCTTTTAAAACTTAAATGACTATTGAAATTGGGACCCATTGGTCCACCCATTTAAGTCAAATTACGAGGTACCTTTCTTATTTTTGCTGAGGACTTTCCTTTTGACATAAGCAGCGTGCTTAGTTGAAGTTGATATTGTTGATATCTAACTCGGTCCTTAGTTCACGTGTTCAGTAGGCCTAGTATTTAACTTTTAACAACTATCGATATGGTTTAAATTTCTTTTGTTATTGTAAAAACAACAAAACAAACAAATTAAATTAAACAATATCGAATGTTGTTAAAAAGTTACAGAGTAGGCCTACAGGAGGTAAATGATGTCGCAGTAGAATTAGACAGGGATATAATTAATTTCCGTTCCTGCATGAATGTTGAGCGAAGTAGTTGCTAGTTTTCGCACTTATTTATCTATGTCTACTCCGGACGACATGATGGTATAGTTGTCTGTATAAGATACAATTTTAACATCGGGAGGTGTTGCAGGAAGCGTCGCAAGATAAAGATAACCAGTAAGGAATGTAGTAAAGTCGGACGGGGCCGACTATATGAAACACGTCATTCTGCAACCGATACTAAATTGTTCATTTGGTCAGATATAGAAGCTATATCTAAATCTGAACAGATTTCATGAAACTTAACACACACGTCTAGAATGACGTAATTCATTACGCTGTGCCAAATCTCGTGCAAATCGAAAGATATATAGGGGCTTTGGTGCACCATTTACTTTAAATCGGACGAAAATATATATGGGAGCTATATATAAATCTGAACCGATTTTCAGGAAACTTAACACACATCATTCTAGACCTAATTTGTTACGCTGTGCCAAATTTCGTGCTTAAATCGACTCAAAAAGTGATTCTATGCATATTCTCAAAAGGAACCATGTGTCTGTCTCGCTTCCTTTTGCCTGTTACAAACATATGCACAAAGACATAATACCCTGTACCAGAAAAAAAGAATTTGGTTCAAGAACCTCAAAATACCGAAATTTATTTATAATTTTTGGTAGGGAGATTTGCTACCCAATAAGAACTCAAAGTACCAAATTTCAGCGAATTCAGTTAAAAAACGCGCTCAAGAACCTCAAAATACCGAAAATTTTGGGGTACCCTTATATGGGAGCTATGCCTAAACGTGGACCGATTTTCTCCAATTCAATAGGGTCAATAGGGTCGTCCTTGGGCCAATTAAGTGACCTGTGCCAAATTTCATCCAAATCGGATCATAAATGCGACCTGTACTTTGTTAACAAAAATACATGGACGGACGGACAGACGGACATGCATAAATCGACTCAGAAAGTGATTCTATGCATATTCTCAAAAGGAACCATGGGTCTATCTCGATTTTTTTTTTTGTCTGTTACAAACATATGCACAAAGACATAATACCCTGTACCACAGTGTGATGAAGGGTATAAAAATTAAATAGAAGTGGTGATAATACTCCTCCCTGTGGAACGCCCATTTTAATCTTATGGTATTTAGATATCCACCCTCTGAACTCAACATATATATTGAGATAGTTACCAAACGAACGCTTGTTAACATTGACTGTTAATGACTGTGTCCAACGCTTTCGATAGGTCTAACGCAGCGAATACCACGGTCGATTTTGGTTCAGGCCATTTGGAATATACGCAGTGATATCAGTTAGTGCGGTTGTAGTACTGATTCTCATAGTTTTTCAGGTTTTGAAGTGAGATTATTCTGGCTACCTTCCAAAAATCTGGGACTACTAATGATTTTACCGATTGAGATAGGATTGTTGCCAAAACTATTGGACCGAAATGTTTTAGCATGACCATAGAGATGCCATCCGGTCCATGGACTTTAGAAGCTTATACATTAGATATTATGGCTTGAACTTCTGAGGCTGAGAAGGAGCAAGGATTTGGCTCACGTTGGAGCTTCTTGAATCTTCTCAAGGTGGCTCTGAAGGTTCTGCAGAGTGGGATGGACAATGAATTACTAGCAGAATATGTTTGCACATATTTTGGCATCAATATGCTGGCTATGTTACCTAGTTTCTTATTCGTGCCAGAGAGATTTTCAATGGTAGACCAAAGAGAGTTGACCTCTTCCGTCAGGGTATCAACCTTGAGTCATCCGGGAGGTAGCTGTAGTGGGATAATCTAGTCTAAATTTGGGAATTCTGCCTGTTGGGATGTGTCTCTTTGCCGCCAGAGTGATAATGTCCAATATCTTTTGTGAAGCCTTTACCGCAAGGGCCACATGTGTATACAGGATGTTGTGGCTATAAACGACGAGCTAACGATGTCGATGTCAGGGGAGCTGGATCAGTAGATACCAAAAGCTTGGTCTTCTCGTCATTTAATTCCATTCTCACTTTGGCATACGTCTTTTCCGACATTTAAGTGCTGACCTTATATTGTCGAATAAATTTTGCAAAAATACCGAACGCAATACGGATTAAACAACTTTGATAGGATATGTGGAATGTGTCGATGTGTTTTTAGTGGTGTGTTTTTAAATTATATATATGAGACAATTTAAGAGCATAACTGCTGCAACCGGTTGAAATAGTTTCCGTTGAATAATAAAAATTAAACTTTCATTAAGTACAGCTGAATCGGGACTCAGTATATCAAAACCACATTTGTTATGAATTTAATTCACAATTGCAATTTATTTTTTTGTATATTTCTAATATATGTCATAAAATCACGTTAAAAATTCATTTCATTTGTTATTGTTGTTGTACGCATTAAGTTTCATATCTATGAGATAACAATTCACATTCAATATATATGCATGTATAAGCAATTCATATAAATATTGAAAGCACCAATAAATAATGCTAGGCATATTATTAAGTATATACATACATCGTTTAAATATATTATAATATACATACACATAAATATATAATGTATATTATAGAAAAAAAAAAATAATAAATAAATATATTGGACAGAGAGCTATATAGCCATATCTAAACATACATATTTGAAAGCATATTAAAAAGTGTATATATACACACAATAAGATCAAATAACTAATTAACACACGACTCTACACATCCTTAAGTAGAGTTTGGTTGTAAAGGATCGGTTTCTGAGGCCTGAACATCGGTAGATGGTCGACGAGAAGTGGGACGACTTGCAGGTTGTGGGAAATTCCAGGCTCTTGGCGAGGTACGGCCGAAAATAATAAACAATAAATTTCCAAAGAAATAAAATGCAGCAGTGATATAGAAAACAATGCGCCATTGTAAGGGATTTGTCTGGAAAAAATAAACAAAAATAATAAAATATTGTTCTTAAAAATAAATATGTACGAAACTCACCTCATCAGTTACAATTAAGCCCACTGTCAGCGGTGCAATAATACTCATAAAATTGGCAGCACAATTTGTAATACCCATCAAGGTGCCGGCGAAATTCGGTGATAAATCAATATGATTTACCTGAAAACCCAAATAAGTTGCAGCATTTGATCCAACGGCCAATGTCAATAGGGCAATAGCCAATGCTGTACTTTCACCGGTAGTAATGTAGCCCAGACCAATCAAAGCTGTCATTGGTATCCACATGCCAAGGGTATTGAAAAGTTTACGCGAAAAAGCCAAAGGCATAACACTGTTACGATTCATAATGTCCGCAATGAAAATAAAACCATACGATAGCAATGTCATAGCCAAATATGGTAAGGCAGACAAGGGGCCATTGTGACGTATATCCAAGCCGAGAATATTTTTCAAAAATGTGGGAATTTCCGTTAACAAAGTCCAGAAGCCCCAGTTGTTGGCACAATGAACCACAAGCAATGTCCAAAACGGCAACGAGGACAATATTTTACACCATGGCGTTTTCATATCAGCCGCTTCCAAACGTCCTGCATCCGACGGCCGCCTTCCATGACTGGAACTTTCAATATAACGTCTCTCCTGTGGTGTTATACTTGGATGATCTGCCGGTGTACTAGAACTATAGTAATACCACACCAAACACCAGACGAGTCCAGCTAAACCGGAAACATAAAATATACTTGGCCAACCCATCCAGGAAGAGGCAATAAAACCACTTATCGATAACATTATCACGGTACCAAATTGTGCTCCCGAATAGCAATAACTGACCAAACGTCCACGTTCTTCGGCTGGAGCCCACTTGGCTAAAAATGTATGCGTTGATGGAAAAATCATTCCTTGACATAGGCCTTGTACTGATCGCAAGGCCAAGAGTAGTGGCCAATCACCAATTTCGGCAGCGAATGGTGTTAGAATTGCCAAAATCGAACAAAAGAGCACACCAAAAAAAAAGGTAAATTTAGCACCATATTTATGCGATAAATAACCGCCAGGAACTTGTGTTACAACATAACCCCAAAAGAAACTGCTTAGCAGATATGATTTGACACCTTCGTCCCAATCGAATTCCTGGAAAAAAAGAAACAAAATATTTAATTAATATATTTCGTAAATGCTAAGATAAAATGGTTGAGTTATTAAATAAGTGGATACGACCGACATAAAAAGCTAATTAATTCCTTTCACAATGTTGATTTTAAGTATGGTTGTCTGATTTAAGTTCGTGGTTGGAATATTCTCTAGACCGTCCATTATTTTCACCTGGAGCTTCATTTCACCACCGAGTATTACTTACATTCGCAAACCACACTGGTACTACATAGCAGGCTAGTGATCGTCCTATTTAATTATAAGAGATCGACAAGCAGTTAAAGTCGTAAAGGGTCTTTCAGAGTCCTTCAATGACGAAAGATAATTCAAACAAGATGACAGTTTGTCCTGCTGGAAAAGGTCATACGAGATGCAAATGTGAACAGAAATGGCACTCTGTACACCAAACAGCACATGTTACTCGCCTACGCCGACGACATCGACATAAGGCGCCGAACATTGCGAGCGGTAACAGCCACCTTTGAACGAATTGGGAAGGATTTTTCCTAAGTAAGACTGGGAGTAAATGGCGAGAACGCGCAAGACGTCCAGTAGACTCGAATTAATTGTGGAACTTGAAAACTACAGCTTCGAGGTAGTGAACGATTTTATATACCTCGGTAACGCCATAAACAAAACTAATAGCATCAGCTTTAAAATCCGACGAAGAATAGTATTGGCTAACAGATGCTACTATGGTCTGAGTAAGCAATTCAAGAACAAGGCCGCCTCTCACCAGACCATACTCACACTCTACAAGACGCTGATATTACCCGTGCTGTTGTATAGATCTGAAGCATGACGAATCAGCTCTTGCGTGTGTTTGTGAGAAAAATTCTCCGAAAATCTATGGGACTATCTGCGTCGACGGTGAATATCGCCTCCGAATGAACCATGAGCCGTACCATCTATTTTCGGACATCGACATAGTCAGACTATCGAGCTGCAGCTATACGTTGGCTAGCACATGTCGTGAGAATGGATGAGGACGCCCAGTTCAAAAGACATATAAAAGCGAACCAGCTGATGGTATACGCTGAAGGAGTCGCTGAAGAAAGATCGTGTGGAAGACAACATTGCAGAACATGGTTATTCAAATTGGTAAACTGCGCACTAGACCGACGAGACTGAAAATCTTTTTTTTAAGCTCAGCTTATGGAACAAACTTTCCCAAGTGTTGCGTCCAGCTATTGGTGAGTTTTGCGTCTAGCAAGTAGCAGTGGACGGCTTGAAATTTACCCCCAATATCGAAATTTACACTCAATATCTTGCTTTAGTGGATGGTCGAAATCTACTCTACATCGACCATTATGTTCAAGGAGGGTTTCATTTCAATCTTTCAAGTGGTTGTTAATTTGGTGGCGTATATTTCCATATTCCTCAGATCTCAAGATCAGCTATGTAGACGACTTTCTTTTTACATATCTCACCAATAATTGGACGCGACAACATGATGGTATAATCATCTGCTTTGTGGAATTTTAGAAAGATAGAGGACGAACAATTCCGGATATATGACACCTAATTAGGAAACACCCTGTTTCACTCCTACGGGTCATTGAAACCCAGCTAAAATTTTTCAAAGAAGCTGCCCATCTTAGCAAAACTGGTCATATTGCTCATTTGCTGCAAGACCAGAATAAATCAAAAAATCGATTTGAATTTCCTGAAGTGTTTCAAAAAATTCGAAACACCCGTCAAAGAACATCGGCATTAAATAGCTCCTTTTTCACCGAAAGGATTGAAAAATCGATTTGAATTTCCTGAAGTGTTTAAAAAATTCGAAACACCCGTCAAAGAACATCGGCTCCAAATATCTTCTTTTTCACCGAATTGATGGATCATCCGCCATAGTGCTCTGACTTGCCACCTAATGACTTATTTTTTCCCACAGATGCAGATTCCTGAAGATGCTCTTGAAGCGTTCAAAACAATGTATGGAAGGGCGGATGAAAATGTATATAAATTATTCTGAAGAATACTTTGAAAAATATATTTTATAAGCAATTATGTATTGGTCTTTATATATTATTTATTTGTAAAGATTATCTGCATAATACCGCCTCCATATTAATAATATTTATGTGGATGAGTAACTAAAGTTGATAACAAATAGCGTATGATTACCAAGTGAAGTACCCTATTAATCGCAACTTAATTTTATTGGCAATCACTTCTGACGTAGTCAGACCACTACAGATAAAACAAAAAAAAAAACAAAATAAAAAAAAAAATAAAACATTTGTTCCACTTTCATTACAATCCGTGTCAAGTTTACACAAATGTTTTACGGATTCGTTTTGTATAGCACAATAGTTATTAAAATAGGAAACCATATGGAAACCAATATCAATGATTTCCAAAATAAAATTAATTCTCAAATTTGGATATTTAGACATACCTCAAAGTCAGGATTTGTGGCATTTTTATCAGTCATAGCCACAATGGCCACAGAAAGATTAACTCGCAATGCATAGGCTACGGCTAAGCCACAGAATGCTAAAATACACTGGATATGACGCACACCAAAACGGGGACCTTGAATTGTTGTAACAAAAAATACGAAGGGTTTATATAAATTCCTTTTAAATGTGAAATTCTAGATAACTTACCTTGTGTCCCATTGATCTGTTGATAGCCATTGTGCTGCAGACAATCACATCCAAATACCATATTGTAGGGATTTACTTTGGAGGAACTCCTCCAGTCAGTTTTGGCCACAAAACAAAGAAAACTAAATGCACGCCAGCACACAAAGCCAACACAAAAATGTAAGTTAGGAGATTTTATCAATTACTCGCTGCTCGCTTGTGTTCATTGCTTTTTAACACATCTTTGTTAAAAGTCCAATAAAATTTTCTATTCACAAAAGATAATCTAAATCTAAATTTTAGTCGAAAATGTTATTGATGACGCGAAAGTTTGAAGAAGAATAACAACAACAGCAGCAGCAACAACTGTAGAGGTAAATAATAATAAAAAACAATTCAACACAAAGCAGGCATTCAAATGGGAGTGGGAGAGTTATTGAGTGTGACTGAGCGAGAGAGAGGGAAACAAAAGCTAACAAGTGTTTGAGAGTGGTGTTTGTCAACAAATAATCAGCTGTTTGGGGGCTAACGAAATAATATTTTGTTATGGCAATGCTGTTGGGATGCACTCATGAAATTTAATTGATACTACGGATTTAGGCAACTCTGCCTTTATAAGGTAACCGTATCAAGGCAGCTGATTAACATTATATGTCAAACAGAATTTTGTTATTTTAATTCGCCGTAGGTAGAAGAAATAACGACAGCAACCCATAAACAATTTAAAAAAAATATTGTAATTTTTATTATTGTAAATAGTTTTATTTTAAGGGGCCTATCTGGAAATGGTGTTGAAAATCAAGGTATTTTTTTATTTTTTTTTAATTAAATCAAATTACATATTTCCCCATTTCACTGACTTATAACAGAGATAGACACTTTCTTTTAAAAGCGATGTCCTGCTACTCTCACCATGTGCGTCTGTGGATAAATTTTATGTCTTCGAAAATGTTTATGATTAAGGACATTAACCGAGATTTGGAATAAATACATTGAACGATTAATTGTAACCTCCTGGAGATATCCAACCTGCAATAGGCCAACATAAATTGTTTGATCTATACACAAAGTTATGTACTTATAAAAATTCTTGCATTATAAAATGTGAGTATACATATATAGAAATCGTATAGATTCCAAAAGAATGGAAACTCGTCCAAAGAATGAAGGAATAACGACAGCAACCCATAAATAATTTTTAAAATATTTGATTTTTTATTATTGTAAATAGTTTAATTTTAAGGGGCGGATAGTGGAGGAAAGCCCAATAATATGCATTGTGTAGCTGCGAATTAAACAGCCAAACACAAAAAGTCTGCGGGTTTTGAGGGGAGAGTCTCGGGGAAAATTACCGTGTACCTAGGATCCCAAGAACGACATAGCGAAATTAGTGCCCCTAAATAAGCAATTCCTAAGTGTTAGGTCCTTTGTTTATCGCCGCTTGAACGCAGAGGTGCTTATTCAAACGCAGTCTTTGTGATGCCTATGTGCATTAACAAGTTTTTTACACTTAGAAATTTCAGAGAAAATCCCCTCCCATGTAAAATAAATAAACAAAATGATGAATATCTTTTGACTGAGGCAGGTGCACGCCTTAGTACCCTCAATCTCAACCTCTACGTGCGCAGCTTCAACAATCAATTCTACTCCTCGAACGAACTCTGCCAATACATCTTTCTCCTGAGCCACTCAAACCCAATACACTATATCCTAAATCTAATTGAGAAGACTGCTTATTTTCCTGTCAGCCAAGAGAATATCCCGACCTACCTCGAGGATGATTTACCCGGAACAGAAGAGGATGACGCTATATATATAAAAAAAAGGATGGAGACGTCTCCAATCCGAAATGAATTATCAAAATAGGCGCATTTTCCAAAGTGGCTGTAATTAGTCATTCCGGGAAAATTCAGCTCATTTATTTAGCCACATAGCTCCCATATATAGTTTCGTCCGATTTTAACTAAATGGTGCACCATAGACCCAAAATTTAGACGATTGGCACTAAAATTTTCATAAGGTACCAAATATAGTATAGCCTAACGTGTATTAATTTTTGTTGAAATCGGTTTAGATTAGTTCCCAATAATAGTTTCGTCCGATTTTATATAAATGGTTATGCCGATTGGCACAGCATTTTCACAAAGTATTGAAGTTAGTATAGCCTAACGTGTGTCAAGTTTTGTTGGAATCGGTCAAGATTTAAATATATGTCCCATATATAGTTTCGTCCGATTTTAAGTAAATGGTGCGCCAAAGACCCAATGTTAGGCCGTTTGCCCAACATTTTGCACAACGTACAGAAGTTAGCGTGGTCTAACTTGTGACAAGTTGATGCACTAAAGACCCGCATATGGCCGACAGGCATAAAACGTTCTAAAGTTAGTATAACCTAACCTGTGGCATGTTTCGTTGAAAGCGGTTCCGATTTGGAATATATGTTCCATATATATTTTCGTCCGATTTCAAGTGCACCAAACTCTTCATGTTTGTAAAATTGATACGAAATTTTGCACAAAGTACATAGTATGGATTGATCTATGTCGGTTCACACTTAAATAAAGATCACTTTAGTTCATCCAATTTCATGTTATTGGTCCTTCAAAAATGCAATGACTGTTGAGATGCATCTGTTGAATATATCCAAAGTGGAGAGGGTATCATATAGTCAGCCCCGTACGACTTTACTACTTTCCTTACTGTTCTTTTATGTTTTGGGTACTAGACGAATATTCAAAACACACTTACAATATGTGAGTATCTTATTCTATTTTTTTCTCTATTTCGATGCCTTGCACTTCGGGTGATCTACCATCTACTTTTTGTCTTTCAGTTTAAATATTTTTCGCAAATTCGAAAGTTTTCACAATGCCATGACCAGATACATATCCTCTGTAGTCTTGATAGTAAATATATTTGTCTGGCAAGTCATTACAACTTATTTAGGTCAGAGATTACAGATTGGGAATATAGGCAATATGCTGGACTTTAAGAAATACCTTCTCTGCAGGAATTTAAAAAAAATATGGATTTTTTCTTGAAATACTGAATGAACTTATTTCGAATACATTTCTCATTTTTTTTTAATTTCTAAAAATTTCCGACCAAACATAGAATATTATATTTATACCCTACACAACTATGTTGTCAGAGTATTATAGCTTTGTGCAGCCCCAAGAGTTTGTATCGCCGCGAAATATTGGTACTAGACCACCTTTAAGTATACCGATCGTTATATCTTGACTAGATGAGTCGATCTAGACATGTGTGTCCGTCCGTCCGTCCGTCTGTCCATTATAATTTGTAAACACGATACAGGCCACAGTTATGGACCAATCTTCACGAAATTTTGCATGTAGGGTGGGTTCTGCCCAACGAACCCCTATTGTTTTTGGTAAATATAGGTTAATATTTAGGGGATGAAATGGACCAAAAACTTTATTTTTTTTTCTGGTCGCTCCAGAGGCCGGTTGATATTTTAATTGATACCAATTATAGTGTCGTAGGTACTCGGATGCGGGAGTTACACTTAAATATTTACAGATGCTTACGTATTCAAATATTATTTAATAACCAAGGACAACGCGTAAAATGTTAGGTGATGATCAGATAATAATTTTTATTTTTCGAGTCGAAAGCCGAACAACACAACCCACGGTGAAGGGAATCTGGACAAGTATGTAGAGGGGCTGTACTGATTATTAGTAACATTTGCTGACCACTAGCCAGTCAAAAGTGTGCAAATATCGCGAAATATTGCCCAATTTCAGAATATAGAACCACAGAAAGTTAGATTTTCATGGAAGTTGTGTAGGGTATCGTATGGTCGGCCCCGTCCGACTATACTGCTCCGCTCACTGGTTTTATTATATTCCCTGGGACAATCCGAGAGAGGACTTCGTCATATTAATGTCTTGCCCTACCTATTATTTAAATATTTTAAACTTAACCATACGGTCAATAACCAAAAAAGTATAGGTAGTTTTGTAACCGGGATAGCACTAGGCCACATCCACCTAGCTATGTAACTCATTAAAAAATTGGACTATCGTGAGGTTTTTTTTTGTCCCTATATACCAAGGGAAAACCAGGGTAGTTTCTGACTTCCACCAAGCAATAATGGCCCCTTTTTCAATATTGCCACAAAAATTTCTTTAATGAACAAAATGGATCCCAATAAAAAAAACTAAAAAAGCTTAACCCATTCGAAAGCTATATCGAATTTACTATGATTGTTTTAGATAGAATATCATTTATCATTTAAGCATACATATTTTAATGTATATATAACTTTGAGTTCCTACATCTAGATAAGATCCGTATAGACTAATTTAAAACAAAAAACAATAAAGTCATATATTTCATATAAAAATAATAGATTTCTTTTTCCCCAACCTAATATTTTCCAGTTTTTTAATTTCTAAACATTTCTGGCCGACCAAAAATAAAATATTTTATTTGTATTACATTCCCTGAGACAATCCGGGAGAGAACTTTGTCATATTAAAGAACTCCATACAATGTCTTGGCCTACCTATTTTTGGTTAGTAAATTTTGATATGAATATTTAAATATTTTAAAATTAAATATTCAAATGAGTTCCACCTACAATTTTTATTACGTGAATAAAAACACCATATTTAGGGTTTTGTCTTTTTTCTTAAATAAAAATGAAATATTTTATTTCACAATATTGGCACTTTTATGTTTTTTTGTTGTTGTTTTTTTATATATTTTTTCATGTAATTTATGTGTATTGTTTTCTTTCGGACACATAACGATAATTGTATTTTTTTCCTGTTTTGTGAATTATGTTTGTCGTTGATCTTATTAAACTAAACAATAAATTGGATGTAATTAAACATTTACAATTATTAAGGCACATTGAAAATATTGCAGACGACAAATGGCGTTGTGGTGCAAAATACAACATTTTGGAGTTATTTTATTTTTTCGTACATACATATATTTCTTCTTTTTTTGTTTTAATAATTTACTTAACAATTAAGGCACAAAGCTAATATATAGTTCTATGTAGATGTGTATCTGTGTGTGTGGTGTATATACATAAATTATACAATTAATTAAAGTACAAAAGGCATTACTATTTCAAAGTTAATAACAGAATAGAGGAAGAAAATTAAATTGAGGTGAGCTGTGGAAGATATTTAGGGATATATTGAAAATGTTGTTATAGTTTTATTATTTATTTTCATGAAAATTTAAACTAAATACTGTAGAGATATTGTAAATTAAAAAAAAATGAAAATCTGATTCTCTGATAATTAAAACTAATGGAAGCTCAATTTTGTGTGTATTTTTTTAATAAAATCAACAATTTTTAAATGCCTTTTTTTCTCCAAAAAAAATCTCGTTTTTTGTTTAAAATCTTTTTACGGCTGTTACTTTGAACAAAATGCAAATTTATTTTATAAAAAATCATTTGCACAGGGATTTGTTGTTGTTTTTGATATTTGTTATGCTTACAAATCTAAGCAATGCTTATAAACTAAAAAATATATTTTTTCGCAAATAAAATATAAAAATTATTACTAGAATTAATTCATTAAATTTCTTTTGTTTTTCATTTCTCTTTAACTAGTCTTACAATTTAAGGAGGTCTTCAGTACGCTTATTCTTCATATACAGGTATGATGGTTACTTGTTGGTGGCTGTTTTTTGTGGTGATGCTGTTGTTACTACTTAATGATGGTGTTGGTGATGGCGGCGTTATAATGAATATGGAGTGATGATGGGAGTGATCATCACTACCTCGTACCATTAAGGGTTATTGATTGCCATTTTCCTTGATGACAGGTTTAACTTCATGGGCACCATTCAGGAGGAGAGCAGGTGTTTCAGGATCAATGATAATGCTGAGACGTTTGGCCAGAGCATCTTCGGGTGAATTCCAACTTTGGACATTGGTCTTGCCCAAGATGACAAATAACAAATTGCCAAAGAAATAGAAACCAGCAGCAATGAAGAACACCATACGCCACTCATCAACATTTGTCTGGAAGAGAAAGAAGAACAAAGGTGAGTATTTTCGATAATTTGTTTGATTTTTTAATAATGTTTTCAATACTAACCACATCAGTTACCACCAAACCCACACACAGTGGAGCCAATGCACTCATCACATTAGCCGAACCATTGGTAATGCCCATCAAAGTACCAGCATAGTTCGGCGACAAATCAATATGATTCACCTGGAAGCCGAGATATGTGGCAGCACTAATGCCCACAGTCAGCGTCAATAATACCACCGCCAATGTGGCATGTTCTTTGGTAACATAACCCAAGGCAATCAATGAAATCATTGGGATCCAATGACCAATTGAGTTAAAGAATTTCCGGCTGAAGGACAATGAAATGCTTTGCTTTTTGCTCAACAACTTGGACAGATAGATAAAGAAGAAGGACAGCACCAACATCACAGCATAGGGTAGAGATGACAACAAGGCACTATTTTTAATATCAATGCCCATAATGTCTTTCATGTAACTTGGAATTTGCGTCAGCAGCGTCCAGAAGCCCCACATGTGTGTGCAGTGGACAACAATCAACGAGATGAAAGGTGGTGATCTGAATATCTGCAACCACGGTGTGGGACCATTGACCTTTGGTGTACTATCAACCTGGCCCAATGAGTTTTCAATCATTTTCTTCTCCTCCGGTGATATGCTCTTGTGCTCGGCTGGGGTACTGGCGGCAAAGAAGTACCAGCAAATGGCCCATACAAAACCCATGGCACCAGAGATATAGAAAATACCCGGCCAGCCAAGGGCGGAATCAGCAATATAACCACTCACAGCCAACATAACAACAGTACCGAACTGCGAACCCGAGTAGCAGAAGGTGCCCAATGTACCACGTTCTTCAACCGGTGCCCATTTGGCCAACATGGCATGTGTAGCCGGATGCACCGAGCCTTGCAAAAGACCCTGGGCAACACGCAAGGCAAACAATAAATGCTTGCCACCAATGGCAGCTGCCAAGGGAGTTAAAATGGTCAAAACCGAACACAAAGTAACACCAATCAGCAGCAATGTTTTGGCACCATATTTTTGGGCTATATGGCCACCGGGAATTTGTGTCACAATATAACCCCAAAAGAAACTGCTCAATAGGAAGGATCTGGCACTGGCATCCCATTGGTAAGTCTAAAATTAAAAAAAAGACAAAACAATTAATTTCAAATCTATGTTTTTAACACCATTTTACAACTTACCGGAATATCACTATTTGTGGAATTGTGATCCGTCATGGCCACAATGGCCACACTTAAATTCACTCTCAGGGCATAGCACAGCGAGAGACAACAAAAACACAAGAAACATTGTACATGTCGGCTGCCGATAAGTGGTCCTAGAATTAAAAAAAAAATAGATAGAAACACGTTTATTAAATTGAAAATAATTTTTATTAGGTACAGTTTTGTTTTCAGTCTACTCGGTCTTATCGCCGTAATGCATGGAACGGTACCACCATGCACAATGAAATTTAATTTATAAAATATATTTATTTATTATAAATACAAATAAACAACCTCTGAAAGGGAGAGAGAGAAACGCATGCCATCGCCCTACTATATAGTGTAATGTTTATACAAAAAAACTTCGAGGAAACCCCTTCCCAAACCCCACCTTCTCTACCATTTTAAAACTTGCCGCAATAATCGTTGATAAGATGAACGTCGTACTTATGGACTTGTGGTATTTTTTATTTCGCCTGGTGTTATCAGTAGCGTTAGTTGTTGGTTTTGCCTTTTTTGTAAATTTTAAAATGTTATTATTTTTTTAAATTACATTGGATTAATTCACTGGCGGAGCAGAAAGGTTTCTGTTTTTTTTTTTTATAAATTTATTTTATTTTTATTCAGAAAAATAATTGCGGAAGGGCAAACAGAGTTTGAAGGTTGGATCGAGGCAAAAAGCCGAAGCTTTACCACTCTCTAATGGGTGAGAATGATAAGCCTAGGAGTATAGCTTTTTTTAGTTGTCTTGTTGTCTTATAACCCCATCCAGATACGTAAGAAGAGGAAAAATCTTCAATCGTGCCAGAATGCCACCCTGAGGATGGCAATAGGGTGTCTACTCATGACTCCAATGCACCACTTACATGAGAAGAGTAGATCCTTCCTGTGCGTCAACACAATAACATGTTTTCGATGCAAAATATGTTTTGGCTGTTATAGAAGTAGCCATCCAAATCATCACCTTATGGATAGGCAACCACCACCTAGGTATGTCAGAAAGGATTTTCATGATCTGGAGAGGGAGAGAGGTTAATAGGTACAAAAGGGTGCTTCTATATCAATCAAATTGTATCAAGTAGGATTTTTACTTTCTTTCGTTCTATTCAAGAAAATAGAGTGAATACAATCCGCCTACGGGGAGCAGAGCTGAATGCTAACGGGCTCGTCCTAAGATTTTGGATAGTGGGAAGGCCAATATTATTATTTGGCTGGCTGTGAATATCAAATTAGCGGGTCCTGCGGGAGAGTTTTGGAGGAAATGAGCGAGTGTCTATGATCCCAGGACTGACGAGGCGAGAATGGCGCCTTCAAACATCTATTTCCATGGTTTTAGGTCACTACTTTCCAAAGAGACCTCCCTAACGCTGGGGTGTCAAGCGACCTCGTGCCCCATCAGTGTTCTATGTTTTGCAGTCAGGTACAGAGACAATATTAGAACAGAGCCTTGTTGATAACCTTGTTGAAGTTAGAGATTCCGACCATATTAAAGGGAAAATACACAGCAGTATAAGCTGCTACAACAACAAGCTTGTCGGGCAGGAATGAATGGCATTCACATTTTATGTACCAATGAATGGCATTCACATGGGAGCAGTACCCAGGTTATGTACCAATGAATGGCATTCACATGGGAGCAGTGCCCAGGTTATGCACCAATATGTCGTGAACGCGGTTCCTGCCTAGACAAACGAAAGTAGTTTCAGCACATTTAAGATCAGGATGGTGTAGCTGTTTCAATTCGTATTGGGCCCGTATTGACAGCATCATACCAGACGCAGGACTTCTCGATACGTTCCATATTTTCATCTGCCTAGCTAAACCCACTTATCTCTTTCTCCAGAAGCTTTTTGGTCGCAGCCAAATCAAAGAGATTGATGATGAATCAGAACCGATATAAAATGAAAAAAATCATACAATAGGTGGACCTTATGGTAGAGGTTAAAAAATCCACAATATGGTTCTGACAATTCTCTAAAAAATATATTTTAAAAAATGTTTAACGGAAGGGCAAACAGAGTTTGAAGGTTGGATCGAGGCAAAAAGCCGAAGCTTTACCACTCTCTAATGGGTGAGAATGATAAGCCTAGGAGTATAGCTTTTTTTAGTTGTCTTGTTGTCTTATAACCCCATCCAGATACGTAAGAAGAGGAAAAATCTTCAATCGTGCCAGAATGCCACCCTGAGGATGGCAATAGGGTGTCTACTCATGACTCCAATGCACCACTTACATGAGAAGAGTAGATCCTTCCTGTGCGTCAACACAATAACATGTTTTCGATGCAAAATATGTTTTGGCTGTTATAGAAGTAGCCATCCAAATCATCACCTTATGGATAGGCAACCACCACCTAGGTATGTCAGAAAGGATTTTCATGATCTGGAGAGGGAGAGAGGTTAATAGGTACAAAAGGGTGCTTCTATATCAATCAAATTGTATCAAGTAGGATTTTTACTTCTTTCGTTCTATTCAAGAAAATAGAGTGAATACAATCCGCCTACGGGGAGCAGAGCTGAATGCTAACGGGCTCGTCCTAAGATTTTGGATAGTGGGAAGGCCAATATTATTATTTGGCTGGCTGTGAATATCAAATTAGCGGGTCCTGCGGGAGAGTTTTGGAGGAAATGAGCGAGTGTCTATGATCCCAGGACTGACGAGGCGAGAATGGCGCCTTCAAACATCTATTTCCATGGTTTTAGGTCACTACTTTCCAAAGAGACCTCCCTAACGCTGGGGTGTCAAGCGACCTCGTGCCCCATCAGTGTTCTATGTTTTGCAGTCAGGTACAGAGACAATATTAGAACAGAGCCTTGTTGATAACCTTGTTGAACCTAGAGATAGAAGTCCGACCATATTAAAGGGAAAATACACAGCAGTATAAGCTGCTACAACAACAAGCTTGTCGGGCAGGAATGAATGGCATTCACATGGGAGCAGTGCCCAGGTTATGTACCAATGAATGGCATTCACATGGGAGCAGTACCCAGGTTATGTACCAATGAATGGCATTCACATGGGAGCAGTGCCCAGGTTATGCACCAATATGTCGTGAACGCGGTTCCTGCCTAGACAAACGAAAGTAGTTTCAGCACATTTAAGATCAGGATGGTGTAGCTGTTTCAATTCGTATTGGGCCCGTATTGACAGCATCATACCAGACGCAGGACTTCTCGATACGTTCCATATTTTCATCTGCCTAGCTAAACCCACTTATCTCTTTCTCCAGAAGCTTTTTGGTCGCAGCCAAATCAAAGAGATTGATGATGAATCAGAACCGATATAAAATGAAAAAAATCATACAATAGGTGGACCTTATGGTAGAGGTCAAAAAATCCACAATAGGGTTCTGACAATCCTCTAAAAAGTATATCTTAAAATATTTAACCTTGAAGTATATTGTAGTTTTCTAAGAAATCTGAAAATTATCTTCTATATACTCGTATATGACATGCAAAATGCTTTCTTCAATGTAATGAAAACCTGTGAATAGTTTTCGAGCTATATAGGAGATCTTCATTGGAGAAATTTTAGAAATACTTAGATTTTTAGAAGATCCCTAGAAAGTCTGCAATCAATATGCGAGAGAATGAGTGCTCTTCTAGGGGATAAAGAGAGCAATGAGAATCTCCATAGTGCCCAACATCTTACTCTTCACGTTCGGAGGTATCACGTCAATATATGAAACACAATTGATAAACACTCACCGCGTAGACTGCAAGCCATGTGAGAGTGAATGTGTACGTCGTGCCATCAGTCAAAATATGAACGAACCGAACATTGCATTATGTTGCTGATGTTGGTGTGTGCCGCTGCTGCTCCGACTGACTGTTGGTTGTATTTCTTCATTAAAAAAAAGCAAATCGCGCGATAAACTCGTGAGTTGTTTATTTCACTGCTCACTTATTTGTGTCGTGAAACAAATCGGGAGATATAAATAAAAGTGAGTAAACAGCAACAACAACAACCAGAGCAACAAAATGGAATAAATTAATGTGCAGGTTTTAGGTGGTTATCTTTTTCATATTGACAGGCAATTTTAGCGTGTTAACGTGTCTATCTGTCTGTCTGGGCCTGCAATCTGAACGATTATAAGGAGATTAGAAACGGTGGTAACAATAGAATTAATACAGTGAAACAGGGTTCGAATGATGATCATAAAAAATCCAAAACCTATCGAAGAAAAACGTGTTCGTTCGAATTTCCCTTGGACTCATGTTCGACTGTACTAATTTGTTTTTCACGTTGTTTCTTTAATTATTCTGGTAAAATATCGAACAGCGATAACAAAATACCAAAATAAATAAGACAATAAAACAAATTTGTTATGGTAACAACATTTGCGTGTTCGGTATAAAGGTCATTGAGGATTTTCTGTTATAATGCATTTATACCTAACCAGAATGAAGGAAATTTCCAATTTCTGGATTTTCTATGAGTAATTTTAGAAAATTTATTTTTAATTTTGGGTTATAATTCCCATTAGATTAATTGACAAGAAAAATATTTGTCAGCCTTGCAATGATTTGTTGCGTTATTCTAATAAAATTCCAGCTACTGTCTAAAGCGTGACTAGGTTATTTTTAAGAATTTTTTTCTGCATATTGCAGTGCAATAAAATATTCCTAGAAATACCAAATAATCTAAATTTTCAAAAAAAACTCTATATAAATTTTGTTAAGCCATTGTGGGAAATTTACAATCCGTTTTTTTCGTTAGCAAATCTTAGGTCATAAAGTAATTTTTGTTTGTTTGCACTTAGCGAAGGGGATGAGGCGTGGTATTTTTTTACTTTTATCACAGAAATTTTCTATGACGTCGCTTAGTATTATTTACAATCTGTATAAAAATTCTTACTGCTATGCAAAGCGAACAATTACCATGTCTAAAAAAGATATGCCATGCCGCCCTAAGAGATAAGCTGTGAAATACTATGGCAAAAAATCTCTCTCAATGATTATCAAATAATGCAAGACCAGTTAGCTAAGCATTTTGATTATGAAATTTTTGTTTATATTAGTCATTTATTGTTGTTGTTGTTTTGTAAATATTTGCATAGCATTTTTTATTTCTTGAATTGTCTGCAACAATTCATTGGTGGTATTAGGAACACGTTTTTGTATACTTTCGTTTGAATAAAGAACTCGAAGACGACATATGGCACACAGCTCCATTTTGAAGGTTAGGAAAACAAAAGATGAGAG